AAAAACAAAAAACTGGAAGCCCCCAACCCAAGGGGAGTCTGTACTCTTCTGAAAGCATTTCTGTGCGGCCTTCTGGCCTCCTGCTGGGCCCATGGGAAGGCCTGGGCAGGCAGGAGACGAGGGGAGCACCTCCAGGGGAGCAGGGTGTGGGCAGCAGTGGCGGCTGGGGACCAGGCATGGGACTCATCCCTGGATCTTTTCCCCACAGCAAGCAAGAGCCACAAGCTGCTGGGGAAGGGCAGCACACCCTTTCGCTTCCAGGGCTGCCAGGGAAGGGGCAGAAGCAAAACAGGGACAAGAAACCTTCCTTACTGCCCCCAGCAACCGGGGGAGCTCCACCGTCAGAGAGGACACAGGCAGAAGCTATCTCCCTATCGGGGAGGCCCCAAAACCCTCCCAGGCCCAGGGCCCTGTGCGAGCGCAAAGCAGGGGGCTGCTACAACAGGAGGAAAGGCAGGAAACTGTCCCCGGCACAACCCTCGGCAGACACGGGCAGAATGTGGCTGCCGCTGGTGAGGGAAAATGGGCGACGTGCTCAGGCCCCGCTCTAAGGCCCAGGAGCACACAGGTCCTGCCTAAGACGGAGGCCGACCCAGAGCACCCTACCCCTAACACGAGCCTAGCACTGAGCACCAAGCAAGCACCAAGCACCAGGCAGTCTGCTGCTGGGAGGGGCAGTCTCGCAAAGGGACCCCAGGCCTCGACACATACAGCCTGCCCAGGGGCTAGCATTACTAATTGTTTAATAATCACCTCTTCATTGCTTATTCCCCTTCTGCAAACGGGTATCTTAGATGTCAAAAGTAACAATTCACACCTTAAATCTAAATTAATCTTTAATATCCCCACCCCCAACAGACATTAAACGTTCACAACACTATGGCTACGTGTCATCCTCAGAGCTGATCCCTGAAGCAAATGGCCCCATCTGCAAACACAACTAAAACATGTGCGCCAGACACTGCGTGCAATCCAGCACCCGCCAGAGGCACGTTTAACATATCTTCTATTTAAGAAAAGAAGTCTATGGACTGCTGTTCTGTGTTCCAGGCTGTCCACATCGTATCCCTCTCAAAGCTGATCGTCAGAAAGCACAGAAGCTGGACCTCTCCCAGGACCCTGCAGAGATGCCTCGATAAATTGCTAGGTGAGCTTGCTTTTAGGAAAATTGTAAATATATAATACTCTTTTATCAGAAGATGAAAATTATGTATCCCAAATATTTTCTTTTTGTCATCACTTTTGAGACACTCAGTTCCCAATGACAGGACTAGCTCTTCCTGTTTGTCTGGCACCACTGACACCGCTTCCTCCTTCGTTTAGACAAGTAAGATGGGTCTGACCAGCTTGGCTTACAGCAAGTGAAACTCTAGGTCTAAAATAGTGTAAGTTAATCCTGGCCTCCAGTATGAATTTCATATTTCAAATCCTTTTCCTTTTCCCCTTTCTCGTAAGTGCGCTGACCGCCGGGTGAGCCCGGAG